GTGTCGCTGGTCTCCTCACTGACGGCGTTCCTGCCGCGCTGCCCGCACCAGACGCCCGCCGTGCTGGAGCGTCTGTTTGAGGCGGTCACCTTCCCGCCCGAGTCAGAGACGGACCGGGCCGGCCGCGATCTGCGCCGCCACGGCTGTAACGCGCTGCTGGCGCTGGCCGTGCGCCAGCCGGCGGCGCTGGCCGCGCACTGGGCGCTGCTGGCCGGCCGCGTGCGCGAGCTGCTGGCCGAGCCCGGCCGGCTGGGTGCGCAGGAGGGCGTCACACTGACTGAGCTGCTGGTGCTGGTGCACGCCCGGATCGGCGACTACCAGCAGCAGAGTGAGCTGATCGGCGCGCTGCTGGAGCCGCACCTGGCTGCCTGGCAGGCGCTGGCCGAGGTGTGCCGGTCACCGGCCGCGCTGATGACTGCTGTGGGGCTGGACGCGCCGCCGCCGCCTCTGCTGAGCTCTGCCGAGACGCCGGCGGACGTGGAGCGCCAGCAGGCGCGCTCTCAGCTGACGTTACTGGTGAACCTACTGAGCAGCGTGCTGCTGCGCTGCCGCGTGCCTGACGACCCGGACCAGCGGCGAGACGGCGGATTCCTTGACCCGGCCACGGGCGCCGTGCGTAACCCGTGCGCGCCGCACATCCTCCCTCGCCTGCCGCTCATCTTCCAGCTGTTGCGCGCGCTGTCGGCTCTCGACTCTCCCGAGCACGTGGCGCGCCTACACCCGGAGCTGCGCGGCGCTCTGCAGCTGTCGGCGCCTGTGAAACTCGCGCTGCTCTCTGCTCAGCCAGAGAAGGCGCCCGGTGACAGCGGCTCTAACGGACAGCGCTCGCCGCTGGAGCGGATCCAGGGATTCATCAGCTACCTGTACGAGACTTGCCACGGCGTGCTGGTGAACGCGGCCAACACGCTGCCGGCGGAGCTGTTTGCCGTGCCTCGGCTGTCCGACTACCTGGCGGGGAGCGTGCTGCACTGCCTGCCGCACCTCTCCGACCATCGGCTGAGGGTGCAGGTCAGTTGAGGAACCGCGAGGAGGGGGCGCTGTTCTAAAGGATTGAGTGGATTAGTGTTAGAAACTTAAGGTAGAGTTTAGTGCTAGAGTTAGGGTACAGAAGAAAGAGCATCAAATACCTTCTGGAGGTTAGAAAAGTTTTGCTCATTTTTGTGGTCTCCTCGCCACCTGCCATTTTCTTTTAATGTATTCACTGTACGATTTTTACTTTGGTTTTATCTATTGGTGTGTATTTTGGTCCCCAGCCCGCTCCGTCTATGCGAGGACATTTGCATTTGGCCATTGAACAGCGACTAGTTGTATGGGTGTGGCCACAAAAAAACACCAGTCATCTTTTCATGTAACGTGCCAAGTTTGTTCCATCTGATGGCCCTCGAACTGTTTTTGTTTGCCTCTCTGTGACACTGATGCCCTTGACCTTCGTGGGCGTACATATGTTTGTTTGCAATCGTCGAACAATGAAGGCATATTCTGTCGAAGTACCCTGAATAGGCACAAAGTCTGGCTCACCGCTATCAATAGCTGTGACTTTCTGTCATCTGTTGTATACCGCCATCTGTAATAGCTGAGCGATGCACGCTCTCAGCACCCCCTGCCATCGTGCCTGACACTGTGTGTGTCTCTATGTCGTTCAGCTGCGCAGCCTGTGGCGCACGCTGCTGCTGCGCTGTCCGGCCGAGCTGCTGGAGCAGCAGCTGCTGCCGCCGTTGGCCGTGCTGCTGGACCACCTGGTGGAGAGGCTGGATACGCGCTGGGCGGCCGTCCAGGCGGCCGCCGCCGCCGCGCCCGCCGCCGGAGAGGAACAGGAGGAGGAAGATACCGAGGTAAATAATACGAAACGCAGGGAGTTGAGACATTGCAAGCCCATAATTCCGAGAAACGTATGGAACACGAGTAGGACATCTTGCGTCCAGTTTTTCAGCAAGACAAAAGTCCTCACAAATTATGTGAACTTCAATATTCATTTCTCATCTAACGCAGAATACCACATAACTCACTTCGCTCAAATACCGTCCTCCTGTTCCGCTTCTGACGCTCCCCTTCCCCTGCCTCACCCCAGGCTGTGATTGCCGAGCTGCTGCTGCGTCAGGTGACCCGCGAGTCGGTCCAGCTAGCCACCTGTCTTCTGACGGCCGCCGGGACCGGCGCCACCACCATCACCTCCGCTGACGATGATACTATGGAAGAGGACGCCCCCTCGGCACCGGCGGCCCCGGGAAAGGCGGCGGTCTCGGCCGCGGGGCTGGCGGCGCTGCGGTGCCCCCAGCTGGCCCGGCCGCTGCTCACACTGGTGTTTAGGTGAGCGGGATGGGATGGCTTCCAGGTATGGTAACCAGGTATGATGGTCACCGTTCGGTTTTATGGCACGTTTATTGATGACATTTCGTTTATGTATTATTGTGGGGACTCGGGGACCTTGGGACTCGATCCCATGATCCCCGAGTTTCTTAGATGTTTGTGACCGTTTTTACCTTTACTGTTTCGCTGTTTTATTTTTACGGTGTATCAGTTGGCTGTGGCAGTGCAGTGTGGTAACTCCGGTCAGTGCTGCCAAATCCTATTTACGGCATTGGTAAGATTGGTATTTGTTGTTTGACCCGCGTTCTCTGACTGTTCGGCGATTGTGTCGGCAGGACGGTGGGCTGGGGCGACTCTGTAGCCGCCCAGAAGGCCTCCGACCTCTCCCTGCTGCTGGTCAAGGCCATGACGGACGCCGAGCTGGTCGATGACGCCGCCGCCAGGTCAGTCAGGGGTCACTGAGTGTGGTGAAGGTCATGGCAAGGGTCGGTCGGGGTCACTGATTTGCGGGTCACCGTTCGGGCTAGTCAGAGCTCACGAATAGGTCATTCGAGGTCAGGAGCATTGCTGGGGTCGGGCGTTGTTACGTCGGATTATTGAACGGGTCAGTTGAGGTCACTGCTGGTCGCTGGGTCATGACGTCAGGGTTAACGAAGGGTCATGACAGGTACGACTGCGTACCTGTCATGATTGTCACTTGGGGTCCCCTCTTCAGCGCTTCTCCCGTCTACTGGTGTTATGTGGGCTGACAATGCCTAATAAACAATAAACAATAAACAATGTGTCTATGCACGCCCTTTTGTGAACTCATCTCTACAGTTTTTATCGTTCATTGACCCCTACCCCGTGTGTCGCCGTTTCAGTCAGGTGCTGTACTGGCTGCTGCACGGTCTGGAGGTGCAGGGTCACCACACGGCCAACTTTACCAGCCTGGTGACGTCCATCACGGCGGCCTACGTGCGGCTGCGGCCCAACCACACCACTGCAGTCGACACGGTCAGTCACTGTGTCCGCACTTCGGCGGTGTGGTGTGGTTAACGACTGTGTGACACAAGTCATAATTAGCTGTAAAGTTGCTATAAAGCGATAAAGTTGGACGACGAATTACTTTACTTACTTAATTACTAGTTTTAAAGAATGTGCAATGTATATGTGCATAGAGGAAGCGGAATGTCGTTGTGCATTAGTGAATGAAAAGTCTTTTTTTAGCTACCGGCGAATGGTGCAATCGGGCGGGAACGCGGCACTCATAACGGTGGATTGTTTACATGATAGATTCAATACATGCCTGCATTCACCACGCTAACGTCTCGTCCTACGTTCCCAGGTGATGAGTCAGATACCGGAGGTGACCCCGGAGATGGTTCGCACGCTCGAGGAGAGGGTGTTCAGAACGCCCAAAATCGCCGCCAGCGACAAACTGAAGAAAGAAGAGGTGAAACGGGTCATCAAACCGGTACGTCAGAGCTTTGACGACCCTGCTCATACGGCAGTAATTACGCCTCAGAGAGTGAGCCTCATGCCAGTATGACCTGTCTTGCCAACCACTCATCTTACAATACATATTCTTAACTTGATACGCTATTTAGCAAGGATATCAGATATCCTAGCTAAATAGCGTAATAGTACAGGTTCTGTACTATTTCTTACGTAATGGTTGCCAAGGAGTTATATTCACCTTGATTTCCCTTGTTGATTCGGTAGGTACCGAATATTGTTACCACTGCGATCAAACACCTCTGACCACCACTCTGCGTTCTGTCTTCCGTCAGCTGGTGAGTCGGAGTCTCAGTCAGCTTTTCCAGAAGAAGGCCTCCATCAGGAATCTCCTGCCCCTGCCGAACAAGACGAGACCGGAGCGGGCCGCCGTCGACATGGTCTCGCTGGCCGATCTATTCGGCGACTCGTGACACGTGTAAGTGACACGTGGCACACGTGTGACACGTGGCAGATGCGCTTACATATCGTGATGGTGTGATAAACGGGAGGGAAGTGCCACGGGTGGTCACAGGAACTCTGAGAGTCAGTGTGGGTGGCTCACAGTCAAGTCGACCAGTCTCCCGGGCCTTTTGAGCGGCGTCAGGCGCAACAGATACAACGAGTAACGCATACTCAGGACAGGACGGGTGCTGCGGGTATCTATCGATCCGGAACAATCATGTGTTTGGTCCAGAACCGTGTAACAGTCGAATCATGATCTGTATTCCTTGCCAGTCCGCTGACGCTCTTCCCTGCCTCCCTCTTCTCTCGAGTGTTTCAGTGGTTCCTATGACGTGCTGAGCGATGAATTGTGTGGTGGGCAGTATGGCTTTCGTCTTCTGATCTCTCGTCCGCTGTGTGACTCTTTACGGCCGGCCGGGCCTGTTGCACACCTACATAAAGGCTGATGTAGCCCAGTGGGACACTCAAGAGCAACAGCTGATATGGCCCCCAGGGCTGCCCAAGTGCCAGCGTTCATCTCTGTAGCGAGCTGTGAAGTGTGGTCCAATACACGTGCTGTCATGAGACGTGAGATGTTTGTGATGTGTTGGAATGTTGCTTCTAATAAGTGCTTATCAGTACCGTAATTTTTAGGCGAAGATCTGCTAGGTTGGATTGACCTTCGAAACATCATAAATTGTATTTCAAGGCAAGATAAGCGCTTTTCCTGAATTCAAGAATTATTTATTATATACAAGCTGATGATGGTTTAAAAGATCATGGTGTATTCATCGTGAAAGCCCGTCACCGTTGAACAAATAACTTTGCAACCTTTCAACACTGATCTGACTGGTTCGGAGCTCGCGTACTGTGCCGCATAATCCTCACATCTAGCGATCTAGTGGTAAGAAAAGAGCATTCTGCCGTGGGTAGACATCAGATGAGTCTTCTGACTCGACGCCCAAGGGTCCCAATCCTCAGCTCCTGCGTTCCACGGTGACCGCGATATCCGGCGGCTTCAGTACCAGGCTCAGCTGATCTCCATTCGTCTCCCACCGCCCCACATCCACACACTCCAGTCTGAACCGCTGCAGAATCCCGGCCGTGAACAGGAACAGCACCTGTCGCGCGTGCGTCTCTCCGATACAGCGCCGGAGACCCATCCCGAAGGCGGCCATCCTCCCCCTCAGCCGCGGCCCGTCCGGTCCCAGGAACCTCTCCGGTCGAAACTGGTCCGGGTCGCCCCAGAAGGACCGCTCGTGCATCACGCTGCGGAAGTCGAAGATGACCCGACAGTTGGCCGGTACGTGGTGACCACCCAGCCAAGCAGAGCCGAATGTCGTCGAGTGCTGGATCACAGGAAGGACCGGGTTCATCCGCATCGTCTCCTCGATGAAGGCGTCGACGTAGGGTAGCGTCTGCATGTCGTCAATGGATGGGGCGCGATCCCGACCGATCACGTCCTCGACCTCAGCGGCGGCTCGCTCCTGCGCGTCAGGGTGCTGGACCAGCATCATCACCACCCACTCCATCACCGTGCTGGCCGTGTCCATACCGGCGACGAACAGGTCGCGCACCAGAACCCTGAGGTTGTCGTTAGAGAAGGCGTGAGGCGGTACGGAGTCGCGCTGTCTTCGTAAAAACGCTTCAACCAGGTCACTGGGCGGCCCGTGATGTTTAGCGTCGTCCAAAGCAGCCTTGTGGCGTTCGATTTGCGGGTCAAACAGGTGTACCAACTCGAGGATGCTCTGTCGGAGCTCGAGGAAGCCGGAGGCCCGCGGCGCCACGAGTCTCAGCCAGGGGAACAGCTCCAGGTGCAGGTAGGACGGACTGAAGGCGGCCGTGTTCCTGTCGACGAGGTACAGCGCGCGCTGCAGTCGGCCGTCCGCCGGCATCTTCTCCCCGAGTACTAGCTGCAGCAGCGAGTTGGCTGCCGGGGCCGTGAACAGGTAGCGCACGCGGACTCCTCCCCCGCCGCCTGCCGCCGCCGACAGCCGCGCCAGTACCTCTCCCAGCTCGGAGTTGATGTTGTCCGAGCGCCGGCTGCGCCCGAAACCCTGCTCCTGCAGGGCACGGACGGTGAAGCGGCGCATCTGACCCCAGTTGTCGCCGTCCGAGAAGATGAGCCCGAGCCGCCGGTGGAGCGCCGCCTCCCGAAACATGAGTGGCTGGCCCACGCCCGAGAAGGCGCGGCTAGACGTCGCCTCCTGTCAGGGGGCGGGGGGTGGGGGATGTGGTGTTAGAACGGTGCTCTGGTATATTGGAAGCCCAGCAGGCTCTACTGATCAGGTTTGATACACTTCTGAGATTTGATCCCCGTATTGAGCATCCTTATACTAGTATCTATACATGTACATTCTTCGATCCTACTCTCGCCTCGCGTGTAATGATAGGCAGCGGACGAAATTTACAATCCTTTTCGCTTGCGATACATCTCTAATGAGTTGCTGTTCCACACCTCGTTTTCGTTCTTTGCTGACATTTCCTATGCGAGTTTATGACTAAGCTGAGGACCCAGGGGTTATGTTAACAAAACATTTTTGCAAAGCTCCGTTGGTCGGAAACGTTGATTTGCTATCCCGGGTGTAAAGCTCACCTTGACCAAATCATATCCACGAACAACCAGTACCGGCTGGTCCATGAAGAGCTTGAAGAAGATGAGGTTGCCGTACTTGGTGCCCAAGGTCTCGAACTCCTTGTGAAGGAGCTTGTTGATGAGCTTACCCTGGCCATAGTACCCCAGAAATGGAAAGCTGAACGGACCTGCGAAATCAGCCATGGAAACGTTTCAAATGTGGACGACCATTCACCATACCCGCTTGTACCTCATGAATTTATGTTTTTACGGATAGAAGAGTATGTGGCAAGACTGCGTAGGTTTCAAATGACGATCTCTCGTTGGCTCATTGAGCACAGAGGTAAAGGGATGTTAATTTGATGAGCGCAAGCGTTTCGTAACATTTATTGTAACTGCGGAATTAGCAGATCTTACCGGGTGCATAATTTTTCCTGCTCTCCAGAAATATTCTCACTACCACTGCGACACCCAGAACGGCAGCCAGGACCACCAGCAGGTGCAGCATGGCCGGTTTTATACAGCGCCAGCGGGCTGTGTGTTGAGTCCGACCTCGCCAAGTCACCGTCACTAGGGAGCGTGCGTCGAACCGGGATCGGGAACGGCACCGACCACCGACCACCGACGGCACCGGCCTCTGAGCCTCTACTGACTGCAGGTGTTGATCGCTGCAGGACACACCGGGACACCGCCCACACTGAGGTGTCCCCCTCCTGACCCACAGGTCACGGCCAGGTCACAGGTGAACGCCGACGCCGGTAGCGCTCAAAATAGAGCTAAATTGGTGGTCATAGACTGTGATTCGGATGTCGGGAATGTTTTTCGCGGGGTTAAACTAGACGATACCGCAAGACGGAGAACATAATAAGTAGGTAACGGTAGGTATGTATACGCATAAATGATATCAGTGGATTACTCGGTTTCCGACGATTCAGATTCCGTCTTTTATTTCGCTTTGCATTTTATTTTCGTGCCTTCAATTACATCACAGCACCCATACCTATATCTAGATAGGCATGACACTTATGAGTCATGTACACATGAGAGTAGCTTTTTTCGTGCGCCTTATAAAACAAAAGCGAGCTGTAGCACACGAGTATAGCCCTGCCCCCACACTCTGTAACTCACTTAGTTCATTGACCTTATTGCCGTATGGCGTCATTCGCGTAAAAGCCCTCGGCTTTGTCACAATTCCAGCTCCACAACTAGCTTAATCCGTCCCAATTGGTCTAATACGGCCGGCACATGAGGACTGCGCTGACGCAGGGTAATATGCGGTGACGTACCCCTGGGTGCGTCAGGAGATGGAGCAATGTATTAATGCGCTCTCTGAAATAAAGTCGCCACTCGGAAGGAAACGCTTATAAGCATAAAGGTCGCCATTGTCCCATCATCTTGGTTTTCTTCTCGACTGGGAAAGTCGTAGATCAGTGGTTTGAACTTTGAAGAAAAACCAAATTATTACCTGGGATAAAAGTTCGCATAAAACGAGTTATCCACGGTTGGTGGGTCGAGCTATTTATAGTGCATCGAATCACTCTGCATACCTACATCCTCTGCCTACCTAACGATGATCATATCATAGCCCTGTCCCACAATAGAGCAATTCGCAATGAAGTAACGACAATATTATGAAGGTGCAAAGCAAGATTCATGATATTCGCTATAAGCCGAATAGTTATCTGCAAAGCGGCCTTTCCTCCCTAAGAACAAAACAGGTTTGTTGGGTAAAACAGTACAAATAACGAGGCTGCGCCGTAAAACCGCATTCTCGTCCGTTCGACCGGTTCAGCAAGTTCGTATCTAACCCATAATCAAAGATAATCGTTCGGTGCCGTGGCATAATCACCATTGTGCAAACACCCGACCTGAGCATCGTACTGCGGTTCCCCACTGATCTATGACAGACTCCCATTTCAACCCTCATTAGTCAAGAGCCGAATGTGATGTACGCATATACAAGTGAGTCACATAGCAAACGGATGTTTTAACAGCAATTCCGCAAAAGGGCGTCTCTAGAAATATAATTCTGCGAACAGTGTCTGAACTTGTTGAATCATAAAACGGGTTTGTTTGGTCGCAAACGGGAGACGCAAAACCAGTCCCAATTATTTACACAACCGGTGAATTTCAAACAGGCCCCGACCAACAAAATTATGCTACATACGAAAACGGGATGTTCTGCAAAGTAAACAGGTTCCTCTGGCCCCCATTTCTCAGAGATAACATCGATCAACCCGTTACCTCACAGCTACCACAAGGTGTTCGAACACACATCCGAACCCGTTCTCCACTCGCCCACATTCCCGAAAAGAACATCCCCCGAACCCGCAACCGTACCGCAGTCGTATAACCGTACTGATGCAACACCGCGGCGGGCCGCGGTCGGTCGACTTCCCGTGCTATCGGGAGAGCTCTTCCCGCGTGCCGCTTCCGGCCCAGTTGCGTTCACCGTAACTCGATTGGTCACCGTCTTCCGGGTGCTGCCAGTCTACTTCGTCGGAACGTGGAATGGTTCACATCAGGCATGTCAGACGGCGGCCGCGCGTACGCGCACGGAACGCGGATTTTCCTGCACTTGATCGCGCTTATTGGTTTATGCAGCCGCACTTTGCTGAGTCGGTGTGAGTCTGAGTCGCGTCCGACTGCCCCTCGGCTTTGTATTACGGCACGTCCAAGCTGCACGCTGCAATGACGCCGTCACCCCGGTGTCGGCTGCTGTCACGTCACCGGCCGGGCGTCACGTCAGCTCACTTCATGGTGTATTGGGGTAATATGGGGGGACCGGGCGGGCACGTCCGAGGGGAGGGGCCGATGCACGGACGGGTGGGTCTTTGTAGACACGTGTAGATACATGTTGCACGTGTCACACGTGTCGGAAAGGAAAACGTGCCGTTGCAGTGAATCGCGCCGTAAAAGCGGATGGTTTTAGCTGTCTTGATCCTCCCTATCCCCGCCCCCGCCGCCGCCCCCGCCCGAGGCCCTTGTCTACATCCTGACTCAATGCGTCCGGAAACGAGTGTCATTGCTCTGAGAGGGTTCGTCATCGCCGGCTCTGTCCCGGCCTTCGGCCGACCTGCCGGCAGCGGCTCGGTTGGGATGGCCGAAACCCGAGCAGCGCGGCGTGGCGCCCTGACTCCACCCGCCGTTCGGAGAAATGCCAGGGGGCACTGCGTCGTGCTCTGCATTTCGTCACGACCACTGTAAACACAGACCCCGCACCGCCGCGAGCTGAGAGCCTGGAGCGAGCCCCCCCCCTCCCCGACCGGACCCCGTCCCCCCTCTCACTCGGACCAAAAGTCTGCACGCCGGCGCCGGCGGCTCAGTGATCGCTGGCAAGTCGTGACCGCAGTGGAGGCGAGAGCGAGAGGCTCGGATCTGGGACTGAGATAGACAGGCTGATCGAGACGCGAGGTAGATATAGGCGAGAGGCGAGGTAGATTTGGATCTACTCAGAGCGGCAGACAGTCGATATGAGACCGGCGATGGTGCGCTCGACGGTGTTGGTGCTGGTGATTGGTGCCGTCTGTGGTGACCCCCGTACCAGGTACGGGTCCTCCACCTGGCAGCCGTCACAATCCATCAACTACCCGGGGGATGAGTTCGACAGATCCAACAGGCTCGAGGGGGTGAGTACAAGCTCTTATTCATTGACAAAAATATAATACGTATGTTGTATCAGACAACTCAAGTGAGGCTTTGCGCGTGTAAGTGCTTCATCTTTAGGATACTAGACCAAACTATTGAACTACGAAAAGAAGAATTTGTAATTAGGCAATTTACTTTCCAACTTAAGTTTAAGTACCGCCTAGCTTCCGTGTAAGTACCTAGTGTCATCTGTCATCTATCGTTCTGTCATTTATCCTGAAACGAATTCATAATACCTTAAATATCATTAACAATACAGTTAAACGTTTGTTTACACGGTTGTTTAATACGTTGCGCGATTTTCCAGCTTCCGATCTACATGGCTGAGGCGTTGAGCAAAGCCAAAAACATCCGCGACTTGGAGCGCTTGGTCGACCAGCCCAGCCGTCTCCGATACGACGTTCAAAGTAAGTAAAACAATCCAGCGTTTGTTTATGCCATCGGTTTATCCCGTATGGTTCAAACTTCAGAGCTTCAGAGCTTAGGCACAAAGCTGTCTACCCATTTTATTGCGCATATTTTAGTTATCTACATAGCTCATATGAGCCTGCAGACTTCCCTCCCTCAGCACATTTCCGTCAGGCTAGACATAAGATTCCGGCGCCTGCCACTCTGTGACGTCTCCCGATGCGTCTGGACCCGGCAAGTGACGTCAAAACTTGTATAAACATTGGAGAGTGGTGTGCGCCGCCAGATCGGACCGCCATTTCCGAATAACTATCGCTTGTGATATTCCATGCGTGTGTTCAAATGATGACTGATGAGCCACAGCTCGATTGCCTCTTTTCTCATTATATGTAGAACTTACTGCTCGTCTCGATTGTTCACCGTCAATTGTGTGGAGTACATAAGTTGTAAAACATATCTAGCCAGTAACCATCCGTAATCTACATGAACGCAATAGCAACACTGGGACTGATGTTCCCGCAGGTGTTATTGAGCCATTCTCCCTCAAAATATTCAAATTAAAAAACTCGGGGCAATTTTAAGTATTTTTCATGCAAGATTTTACGTTTTCTTTCGATTCGAAGAAAACAACATAATATCGTTAACTTTGGACACTGCAGCAGGGCGATTTGGCCCAGTCCCCCTTTCCAACTAAATCTATTAGTGAACTTAATTAGTGAAAAGCAGCAATAAACGTTTCGTAATATAAAGACGTCCTGTAATATAATGCGTATATAGATCAACTGCGAATGATGTTCAGTCCATTTGCAAGAAACCAGTTGACTGGAACGACAAGCTGTGTCGCTCATCACGCAGGTTAAAACTTAACGTTCAAATGACACAACTTCTGCTGTGACCCCACATTCTGCACAGAACAGACGTGCATAATTGCGCAATAAGCGGTATGCCGGTACAGTCTACCATTCCAGTCAACTGACGTCTGAGAGGCTGACGGATGGAACACCATATGACTCCATTGTCCCCTCTATTGAGTCGGCATCAACATCAATACGTCGAGCTCTGCAGAACGGCTCCAATCTGGGCTATACCAGCGAAATTCCAAGGCTCTTGTTTGTTTACTGGGGAATCTCAACTGAGCTTTGACACGGACATTTGACTAAGAATAATCTTCGTTTCAGCCATGGCAAGAAACGCTGACACTGGTGGATTGGCTACTCGCTTTGGTGGTAAGTACGTAAATGATCATTCGCTTATTAACTTTCAGAGCTACGTTAAGTACTTTGCTATTAAGTATTAAGCTATTTTGGTATTACGCTCAAAGCCACGTTACAAATTCATTTATTGTTCATTATTGTTTACATAATTTATTACAGGTATACATATATGTATAATGTACCCACAGAGTTGGTTGTTGAAAAGGTTGCACAGCACGCTGGAGTCTTAATCCATATTGTATTTCTCTAGCTACGTGAATTAAGTCATTATTTAATGACGAAATGTTGGAGCCGCCAATAACGTTAATGCAAAATGCACGTATGCCCTCATTTTTTTTTGTAAACTCAGAAGCTATAAGATGTCGATATAATTTGACGCATTAAGCATCAGCAAATTATGAGTCATTTATCATTATCTTTCTCGATAAGTTTCGGTGTTAGTGTGTGTCCTTGCGTGATGCTTGGATACAGATAGGTACATACAGTGTGAAGTTCGACTTAACTTAGGACGGTGTTTTCCTGCCTTTTCACCACGGTTTTCAGTATAAATCTAGAAATTTCTAAACACGCAGAACATATCAGTTTTGATACTTAAATAGCTGTGTAGGATTAACAGCTATGGCTGTATCCGTTATCATGTTAATTGTTAACTAACAGTTATCTTTCTTTTTCAGGCGGAAATCTGGACACAAAATCGGGAAGTAAGTATCTCATACCAAGCAGATCAATCGACCCAAACGTGCATGGCACATCTGAGTTGACACTATGTGTATCGATATTCCTGAAGCAAAGAAATGGCAGCACATACTATCTATGTAGGTTAATAAAGTAGCATACACAGTAACGTTTAAATGGCGAAAAAACTTATGTCACGACGTCCCTTATAGTTCCTACTTACTCTATGGCTACGGCCTACAGTTGACTCATATTCAGTAGTCAGTACTAACAACATATATACAGACCATGGGACCCTCCGCCTTCCCCTCGGATACTTTGCCGTTCTCCCTTACCCTGCAAGTGGCATGGCTCACATCCACCCATTTCAGAAAGTAGACAGTCCCCAATGGGCTCGCATTAGGTACTATTGGTCTCAAGATAAGGGTCCAGGCGGCCTGTAGGTTTGATGCGGTGAATACCCTCACCCTCGCCACAGCTGGAGTGGGGGTAGGGGAGGGGGTGCGTGCGGCCCGAGTCTGACAGCGGGGTCGCTCGCCACAGTGTGGTGTCCAGCGGTGCAGTCGGAATCAGGCGGAATTATGCCGGCGGCGGTAACCGGTCGAAGGGCCTGGCTCAGTCGCGTCTCGAGACGATTTACCGAGCAGGGTGTCAGCGATAGATGGGAGGGGGTGTGGTCAGGGCGCTGTTTGATCACCAAATCAGCATGCTGTCAGTTTGCTGGCGTTTCTCATCTTCTCATTGGTCATTGATGAACCACACGTGGTGTGTGCGATTGACCAATGAGAGACTAAGAGACGCCTGTAACTGGCTTCCATATATTGGAAAACCGACAGCAAGCGGAAAAAAAAACGACAGTGCATGGGGCGCACTAGCTTTAAAGCTCACTCCGCAAAAGCATAGCTTTCCATGGTTGAGGTTGACGGGTGTTACCTACCCCAGAATTCTTGCGCTTGCTCTCAACTCTCAACAATAGTACTACTGACTTGATTCAAGCCGATTCTCTGGTGACACCAACGACCAATTACATTTTCAATTCTCGTCGAGTCACTGACCTTTGACGTCATAAAAGACTTCACTCGGTCCTAAAATATTGCGGCTTGGCAACTCCGTCATTGCTAGGTCCACTTCTGCAGATAAATAAAATTCACATGATTTCATATTCTTCCGAGACCTTGCAACTTTTCTGTTTCGTAATTTTCTATAAAGTTCACGTAAATCTAGGTCAATGACGTGACCTCACCATCGTAATTCAACAAGGAACAAGGGACATTAAAATTTATTTTGATGACAAAAAATGATTTAAGACTATCGTTTGCACATGGAGTCTTGCTCGTATCGCTTCACTCCGTTCAAGATAGATGCTCAACTTTTGCGTTTTGAGCCATGTGCAACGTCATAAACGACATTACATAGATATTGGAGCTTTTTTTGTCATTAACTACTGTTCCAACTGAAATACAGGGAACGGTATTTACTGAAATACATATATTAAACCTCAAGTAGTTAATTAGAACAAATCTTTTAAACGTCTCGCCTAACGTCTCGACGTTCAAAAGATTTTTTCCACCTACGAGCGGTTTAATAATTTTATCCCGTACCGCCGATATCTTTCGGATGCTTAATGGTAAAGAATTCATTTTATATAAAAATACGACATTTCAGACTAGACGAAATGTCTACTAGACGTTTACAGGGGCGGATCCAGAAAATCTCCAAGGGAGGGGCCATTAGAAACCAGGAGGCCCCCATAATCCCACCTGTTGGAGGCCCCATCTTCCCACTTGTTGGCCCCCCCAAAAAAACTGCGTCTATTGAGCTTATCTAGCTGTTCAGGCAACATCTCAACATGAATAGCCACTTTATTTTCAGGAGGCCCCCTTTTCAGCTTTTTAACTTTTTATTTTATTTTTGAAAAAAATCGGCCAAGGGGGGGCCATGGCCCCCATGGCCCCCCCCGCGCCTGGACGTTTAACAGTTTCTTAATCTCTAGACGTTTAACAAATCAGTTACACGACATCTGATAATTTTCTCTCACGTAAAGCAATTGTAAACGCTGTCTACGGTGCGGGATAACCGCATTTAAACATCCACGCGCTATCCTCTAAATTACAGGGTGATCAATAAGGGATGACATAAAGTCAGTCCTGCCAGAGGCATAAGACATAATGCAAAAGCAGCTCACTCCAGCAAAAGCTGGAATGATAAATCTTAGACATTTTACATCGCACAAACAGAAATCAGTTGTGTCGCTCGAAGAAAACTTGCTTCTCCGTGCGGCAGACCTCGGCCAAGACCTTCGCTCCGTGCACATCCTTGTATGGAATCAACTTTTGTGGATTCTTCGGCGAAGGAGCCTGTATTCTTCTTGCGGGTGCTTGCTGTAGCGCGAGCCACTTTTCGTCACTCAATATCACCCTTTCGAACCATTCTTCCGATTCACTGAGCCGTGAGCCAAAAGGTGCACGCTTCCAGCCTCGACACCATGCTGTCAGGGTAGATGACGGTCATTAGGATCGGGCGATAATGTTTCCAGTTTAGTTTCTTCTTGTGGATGATTGTCCATCTTAGAGATGTCAAATCGAATACCAACTTTTTGGCATACCGATACCAAACCGATACCAACTTGGTATTGGCGTTTCGAACACATTTGGTATTTTGTTGGTAGGTATTGTGAGTCCTCGCTAATGTAAAAGAGACTGTGACTTTGGTAAAAAGTTGGCATTTCCCTGATATTCCGAAGTCGGTTCGGTTTTGATATTTTCCCACGGTTCCTGTTGGTATTTGGTTTGGTATCGGTATCACGACTTTCTGTAATTGACATCACTAGTCCATATATTAAAAATACATTCCCAGGGTTTCTTAATCCATCGCGAGCGTGAATACTGGACAGATTATTAAAGAATTGCCAGACTCTCATCTCCTTCGAGCAACTGAACAAGATCCCAGCACCCCTGGTCACTCTACAGTCTGGATTTTTCCTGCTTGGACTTCACCGTTTAACCTCAAGCAACTCAATTTGCGGAGCGAACTCAAGAGTCCAAGACCCTTGATGAACTGAACGCTGCCGTGTGTCGTCGAAGGCCTCGTCTGCACGATGGCCGGCGATCATTTGGGCCTCCAGCGGGGGCTTACTATTCGCTAATGAACACCCTGCACCTGTGCACGTGACCTGACCTCAGAGGTCACATGTTGCTCTGACACTTTTAACTTGATTGTGAATCGCTGGGTGTTGTTTTTTGTTTGCAAGGCTTTTAGCTTAAGTATGGGTGAAACGGCGGCGGGGGTCAAGCACCCCCCCCACTCCAGACCCCTCCCGGTATTCAGAAGGCCGATAGGTCCAACGAGGAATAACGGATACAACGACAAAGAGACACGTGCACTCTTGAAATATGTTTGTTCCGTGTGGATTTGATTTTTGAGAACGTTTCCTTGTCTTGTCTATAAGCTGAAATCGCCAATCAGCCTTATGCATTACCTAGCTGCATCGCTTCGAGTCCCATCGGTGGGAATGGCTTCTATACTCTACACTATTAGTGCTTTCTTGGAATGATATCACGTTCGATAGAAGTATAAAGCGAACACATAGCGAACGGGGCGAGAGTAACACTTAACATATTGTTTACTGGTTAACCCTACCGAAGCTTTAACAATGCAGTTATTGAAATGAACTGTTCAACAGTTGTTCAGCGCAATAAATGAAATGATATGAAACAACTTAGGAAATTAAAAGTTATGAAGGTTGAAATATGCAACCGTTAAGATAATGATATAAATAGTGATTAGTGACGTTGTCGGCGGTTTGCCGATCATGACAACATTGATTGCTACGTCCTAAACAAACTGCCACGTCTTGCAGTCGAACGTGAAACTGCAATGAACGATGTGTGAGCTACATGGTCCGGCATAAGTTTTATCCTCTAAAAAAATGTTCTCTCTAAGTTGCTACATAGGGGACAGCCATTCTCTTTAGCGCTCAGTTTATTTCCCACGAACAGGGATTTACATACGAACGCAAATTTGCATGCTGGTAACTAGGTTGTGCAGTAAATACGGCTGGATTTAATATCATGCCCGTTTGAGCTGTAACGACAAGGCGCCGAGGCTGGCCGCCGGCTTCTGTTTGTCCAGGTCCTGCTGGACGATAGCCTGCAGTTCGTCGATCAGGATGAGGTCCGAATGGCAGCCGGCTAGCATCTCTTTCCTTCAGAAGTCTGACACGTTCAATTCGCACCACCGCTAGCCCTTGGCAGAGCGATGAGCTGGCGCGCCGTCCTGATTGAAAATGCATGTCAACATGTCATTGACCATGCGTTGGCTTAGTATTGGGCCGAAGGTAGGTAATGAGCCTCGGAGAGCTCTTCCAATAGCGTCTCACGGTCCTGTTTGGAGATGTGATAGCGCTTCAGCGCGAGCCGCTTGGCCAATTTTGTCGATAACTACTGGCCCCTCTTCCCGGCCGCCTTTTTCAATGCGATTTATGTAACGTTTGAAATGGTAGGCGCACGCTGGCAAACTGGAACGATCAGCAACACTGCCAGCAACCGTATGCTTATCCCACCAACACCGGGCTGTGCAGGCAGTTCGTCCATAATTAAGACTTGCAAACAAAAACAACAGGCAGATGTCCCAACCAATCAGCTATGACACGCTGTGTCATTTCGGCCTGGAGCATGCCGACTGTCTGGTTCAGCTCCCTTGATAAATGCTCCCTTGGATGCTCCCTTTATGTAGCGATGCAGCCGTTCAGGTGGACAATATCTGTGAAGCTGGCCGTAGCTCGGTGATCCGTGACCCGAGGTCCGTTCGTCACCTCATGTTCTGCGGCCAGGACCGTGCAATGCAGGAGTGCAGCCGGGGAGGGGGGTCGGATGGACCCCCCCCCATGGTTTTTCGCGAATAATTCGCGTAAAAAGCGGCCGATCGCGACGAAACTTTCAGTACCCTCGCATTGATCAATTCTACACCTACCCTGAAAATTTCATGACCCTGACCCCAATGACCTTTGACCTGTGACCTCTTTCCCGAGACCATGTTTGGCCGGAATCGCGATTCCGCGTATGTCGGCTCGCATTAGCCGCGCGTTTGCAAGCTTTTCGTAGTTTCAAACGCTCAAACATGTGATTTGATGTTGCTCCCATACATTAGGGTGGGTGTTAAGGTCACCTGGAGGTCAGGTCAGGTCATTGATCTTTGGTGACCTCGGTTCACTTTTCGAGTTTTACATGTTTCTAGGCTAGTTTTTGGAGCTGAATTCGAGTTTAGCAACCATTTGAACATTAACGAAGTAGTTTTGGTGACTTCGTAACATGTTACGAAGCTGTCAGAGGCGGTTGACACGTACTACGAATACCCGTCACGACGCCTACTGGCTGACCTGACCTGACCTGACACGACCTGGTCTAAATGCTTAGACATCATCTGTGATCAAAACTAACACGATATTCATGATCAGAACCCCGAAAAATCCCTTAGCAGCCACACTTTACGACTTTCTAACAGGTCCCGATTTTCCCGACTTTGTGTCATTGACCTGACCTGGAAGGTCAACCAATGACCTAGCTCTAGGACCTTAAAATTGGGTATCATCGGCTTCCTCTCGTCACGGGCAACACGCTCGTTTTTTTTCCGCGAAGCTCTAGCTCGATCAGGGGCCAAACGGCAAGGAGTGTCCAACCGACCCCCCCCCCTTACACATTAGAAGCTGGCAAACGCCGCACACATGCGAGGGTAAAAATGGCGAGCGGCCCTCCCGCCGGAATGGTGAGCGTCCTTCTCTGTCAAACGCGGCGCTAGTTTCCGCCTAAGCTCCGCTGGCCCGCCCAACTGCTATGTCATGCGGCACAGTCTACAAGTACAGGTGACCGGTCGCGAGATCGGAGCTCCGTAGCACCGAGCGAGTGTGGCGGAGGTGGGGGGATTCACCGCATCAAACCTACAGGTCGCCTGGACCCTTATCTTGAGACCAATAGTACGTCTCTTCCACCGGCTACAGCTAAACACTTCATATACAGCCCATTCATTCCCTTCCATTTATCTTGTGACATGCTCTGTCCTAAGAGAGCCGCATGCCGTTCCCGTTCCCTCCAAACCCCGTAACCCCCTCCGTCTGCTACAAACCCCCGTAACTCCCTCCGTTCCGTACAGACCCCAGTAACCCCATCTGCGTTCCCCCACAGACCGTAACGGCCAAATGGCGGTGGCGGCCGTCTGCAAGCCGGAGCTCACCACTGTCCCTATCGCCGAGGAGAACAAGAAGAGCAACACCATCTACTGGCCGTCGTGCACGCGCGTCGAGCGCTGCGGCGGCTGCTGCTCGCACGAGCTGCTCTCCTGCAAGCCCACCGCCACCAAGACCATCCACGTGCAGGTGAGGTGGCGCCAGAGAACGGGGTGACCTTATGTGTTTTGATGCATTGTTTTCGCATTTGATGGAATTGGTTCATGATTAAGACTAAAACGTTTGTATTGGCTGCAAGTCAAAAAATGATGAATGCATCGATGCATTTTTAGCAATGCCTGCATCCTCGACATGGCAGCGAAACTTCATGAATATTTATTGAATAATCATGTGGTTCCCCTTAAAGTCAATTTACCTTGTCAGAAGTACCTTTATACAATCCTTGAGATTCAGTTCCATATTCTAGCCACGTGCCATTGAAATGTTCAGCACAATATGAGATGCTGCAGGCGTAGGAGGCATAAATTAGTGGAAAACAACGTTTACTGACACCTGTAGGCACTCAAACATTACCGATTTAGGTTAGGTGACTACATTTAAGAGAGGATTTTACGGCAGATCTAAATGCCCATTGAGAGAAACTGCCGAAAGGCGCATCAAAACCAAAACCATCAGGTCGACTGACTTGTTTTACATTGTTGATCAAGCAGATTGCAATAAAGTATGGCCACTCAATGCATTTACATGCGTTCATTTTGTTTTTCCTGCCCAGCAAATTAAATAGAAGTTGAAGCGCTCGATCGCAATCACGCCATCTCGCAGCGAAAGCCTTCTCACAAATGCGCTGCAATTTGAAAACATTGCGTAATGCTCTGTGGAAGCAAATTGGGCACATTCCAGTACAGACGCTAGGAGAAAATAGAGGAAAACATTGCACTTGTTCTGTCAGGGTTAGTACATCGGAAGCGGCTCTTCACTTGGAGGCTGCACCATAATTGACGGTTTATGGCCAATATATGGCCTTGGTTTTATTAAGCGATAATTTTTGCGTTACAAATTTAACCCTCGCATGTGTGCGGCGTTTGCCAGCTTCTAATGTGTAGGGGGGGGGGGGGGGTCGGTTGGACCCCCCCCCCTTGCCGTTTGGCCCCTGATCGAGCTAGAGCTTCGCGGAAAAAACGAGCGTGTTGCCCGTGACGAGAGGAAGCCGATGATACCCAATTTTAAGGTCCTAGGTCATTGGGTGACCTTCCAGGTCAGGTCAATGACCCAAAGTCGGGAAAATCGGGACCTGTTAGAAAGTCGTAAAGTGTGGCTGCTAAGGGGTTTTTCGGGGTGCTGATCACGAATATCGTGTTAGTTTTGACCACAGATGATGTCTTTAAGCATTTAGACCAGGTCGGGTCAGGTCAGGTCAGGTCAACCAGTAGGCATCGTGACGGGTATTCGTAGTACGTGTCAACCGCCTCTGACAGCTTCGTAACATGTTACGAAGGCACCAAAACTACTTCGTAAATGTTCAAATGGTTGCTAAATTCGAATTCAGCTCCAAAAACTAGCCTAGAAACATGTACAGCTCGAAAAAGTGAACCGAGGTCACCCGAGGTCACCAAAGGTCAATGACCTGACCTGACCTTCAGGTGACCTTGACACCCACCTTAATGCATGGAAGCAACATCAAATCACATGTTTGAACGTTTGAAACCACGAAAGGCTTGCAAACGCGCGGCTAATGCGAGCCGACATACGCAGAATCGCGATTCCGGCCAAACATGGTCTCGGAAAAGAGGTCACAGGTCAAAGGTCATTTGGTTCAGGGTCATGAAATTTTCAGGGTAGGTGTAAAATTGATCAATGTGAGGGTACTGAAAGTTTCGTCGCGATCGGCCGCTTTTTACGCGAGTTATTCGCGAAAAACCATGGGGGGGGTCCATCCGACCCCCCCCCCCCCTACACATGCGAGGGTTAACATCTTCCATGAAAGACTGTTTGCTGAAATGCGACCTGCTTTAGTTCTAGGAATGCCGGGATGTGGCCTAAACCCGTAATGCTTACTCATTTTATTGAACGAGAGGCAGGGCAGACCTGACAGTAGGCTTGCAAAAGTTGACAATTTTCGGACCCGTCAGATTTCATAAGAAGATACTTCTTATCCATCTTGAGACTTGAATCATGCCTGCATTATTCAGCCCCAAAAGAATTTGCAGATTGCCGGTGGAGATGAGCAATGCACCCGCTCGCTCAGACGTAGTCGAGCGGGGCCGTTGAATCAGGCGATTTTGTGCAGGGCCCTGCCCGTCCAGTCCCGTGTGAGAACGTTTCCTGTTCTCACGCTGCAGTCATGGCGGTGGGAGAGAGCTGCAGCGGGGCCAGAGTCCCGCCTGGGAGTGGACGCGGATTAGGCCCGGCTGCTCTCAGGGACGGCGTGACCCGGGGATTTCACTGATTGGTCGGTCTGATGCAGTCCAGACCTATAACCCGGGACACCCGGCTCCATTGTTTGGATCAAACCGCTCAACCGCAGCAAGCTGCAAATCTGGTCCCGTTTTTTTAGCAGCAGTTTTGGAAAATTTCGCTATGAGGCCCGTGGAGAAGTATCTCTCGTCTGGTATTGGTCTCAGATCGACTGTCAACTTCTGCAAGGGTGCAGCCAATGACCGTGTCAAATAACACAACCGCTCAGAATCAGACCGATCTGACCTCTTGACCCATCCTAATTCTGATCGATGTGATCTGAGCTATCCCAATAAGACAAACTAATCCAACCACAAAACCACACTATCTTCGAGGCCAGCCGCACTGAGACCGTTTCACGGCCTAGCCGAACCGCGCGCTCCGCGACTGACCCGAGACCGCTCGGCACTACTGACCGGACGGCTCGGCACTACTGACCGAGACCCTTCGGCACTACTGACCGAGCTCCACGTATGCCTTTCAGGTGGTGAGCATGGGGTACCAGGACGGCTCCAGCCGAATGGGTTACACGGACACCATCATGGTACCCCTGGAGATCCACACGGCCTGCGAGTGCGGCTGCAAGCTGACCGCCAACGTAAGTCGGCGCGCATAACCGGTTCACCAGGAGCGTCTGCGACCAGACCGCAGTGTATGATTAAGTGTCGATTTTTAAATAGTTTGTTCCCACGTTGTGAGAGAATGAGTGGAACGTCTCAGGGTTGTAGCAGATGACAGTACTACAGTGCAGCGTGACACATCCATGTGGTATGCGCTGATTCCTTTGGTGGTTGTGAAATGAAGTTAACTCCCACGAATCCCTATTATTTAATTAGGAAGAAAGTTTTCGAACCAAGGTGTTTGACAATCTTTCTAGATATTTTGTAAAAAATATCATAAATAAACTTCGCTTGTAGTAACATACAGTCCCAAATGTCGCAGTGCGACTCTGAACCCCTCCCCCTTTCCCACAGGACTGCAACCAGTTCCAGGAGTACGTCGAGAGCGAGTGTCGCTGCAAGTGCGTCAACAAGGACGACTACGTCAAGTGCTCGCAGAACAGCCAGAAACTCTGGGAGCCCAGCACATGCCAGTGCAAGTGCAAGCAGCAGCGAGAGTGCAGCACCGGGCACTACTTCGATCTCAACACCTGCTCGTAAGTCCAGCGGCGAGGCGATTATCTGTGTCGGATTTATCATAAACCAGTTTCACAATCATAACATTTTTTCAAACAAGTTTGTCGGCCTTCGTATGCTCAAAAATTAAAATTAATACTTGGCTAGATGTCGTCTTTGGTTGGATCCAGTATTTGTTTTAGCCATGGTCAGCACCCACGGATATGCAGAGGCCAAAGTAATGATAATCTGCTGGCCAATAGCAGACAACTACAAGGCTCAACCTGATTCAAAAGCAGCAGCCACTGTCCCTGGCTAGCACCCAGGGGTCAGAAGATCTGATCGAGCCCCTGCAGGGCACGCATCAGTCCTTTGGAGAGGCGACTCTTGCCGTCACGGCTTAAGTGTTGGTTAGGATCCTATAGAGATCTGCTGAAGTGCACTTGGCAATGGCATTACCGATCACCGAAGTTCATTCTACATCTCGACTCTGAAAGCAATATTTGTTCTTTTCTTACCAAATAATCGAATCCAGGCAAAGGACACACTGATTTTAAACTCACTACATTTTGCCATCTGGTTCAGTCAAATCACTGTACCTACAGTACTGCACATCGTCAAAGTTTTTGCGGAATGAAGTGACACACGACCCTACAGCTCAACCAAGGTCACAGATCATAGTTTATAGCGGATTTTTACTTTAGGGCTCATGATCACCGGTTGCTGACATACATTATCATCACTCAGGATCATTATCCTTCGCATTTCACTGGTATATCCCTTGTTTCCGTTGGACCTAGGTGTGGAACATTCCAAATCTCAGCGTGACATTTGAGGAGTAACTCGCCGGAAAGCACGACTAAGCGCCATGTCATGCACTGTGCACATTGCACAGAGTTGCCGACTGTGGGATTAGTGACTCTTTGCTGCTATGGGATTAGCCATGAGCGCCGGCGTTTGACTCGGTCCACCCCTGTGGCCGCCAGATGCACCGCACTGCCCTCGCGAGAAGCCCGACCCTTCGACCAGGGCACCCGTTTCTTCTCGTCCTTCCATAACTTCTACAGCAGCGACCGCACGCCCATTAGCGATGTCCAGGAGGCCAGACACGCCAGGCCGACAGGTAACCCACAAGAACACGCGGGACTAAATTGCATGGAGGGTTTTTTTTTCATACGCATCCCAAACCGGTCTGATATCACATGCACTAACCTTTGGGAATTCAATTAACATATGACATTTCAGAAACAAAATCTAACCGAGCATGCATTATCACAGCGATAGTCGATGACACCGAACTACTAAATATCATAGCAGAAAGATTAACAGTAGCTGCCTACCAAATACCACCATCGTAAAACTCATGCATGATATGATGGTTCGAATATGCACTCACATGTGACGACAAAGCATAAATAACCTAAAATACCTCAACTAACCCCAAACATACGTAGGTAGTTCGAAAACGGTTGCGCAAAGTTCTTCCCAAATGAATGTTGTCCGCATGCCTTCTTACTAATCCTGAACTGAACTTACTGACGCATGAATAATTCTTGCATCGTATCATATCGTATTTGTAGTGCAACGTTTGATTTTTCGGCTACTAGTCGTTTATTGTTTTCGTTTCGAATTTTCGACCTTCGCATCGAGGCCGTTGTCAAGAAACATCATTGTCATGTTTCTTGACAACGGCCTCGATGGTCGAAAATTCGAGCCTCGATGGTCGAAAATTCGGAACGAAAACAAACGACGTAGCCGAAAAAACGTATACGTTGAACTACAATGTCTAGTCGTAAAGGCTTCAAATCAGATATCGTATTTGCATCTTCTACTATTGGCTCATCAGATATCTATCGTGGCGATCTTTTCCCAAAAGCATGATTCTAGACATTCTAATAGCTTGAAAAGTTATGGCTAACATACAGACATGCAAACAAGGGAGAAATGTGTATTTAGGAGTCTCAAAATATCAGCACAAATGTCATATCCAGCCGCATGGGCATGGGTGACCTCACTGGTCATCAGACTGGCTATAGATTAATGTCAAACGTTCTGTTTAAATTCCCAAGACCCATCAGCGTCTGCCTCCCGGTGAGCCCATCTGACGAGCGTTGTCCCTTTCAGTTGCCCAAACCTCTCGGCCGACCGTGCGCGTGCGCGGGCCCCAGCGCAGCAGCCGGTACGACCAGCGGGCGCGAAGAGGGCAACAGCTCGGCTGAGCCGGCCCGCGCAGACCTACCCCAGACGGCGCCACGGCTGGGGCGACTTTGTCGAGACCGTCTACGCCGAGGAGCTGCCGCTGCGGCGCTTCTTTGACGCGGTGTACCCGGAGGAACGGGAGGACGACGGAGAGGAACGGGAGGACGAGGAGGAGGACAGGGACGAGTGGGACGACGACGACGACAGGCTGGATTGGCAGGGACGCTCCGGGAGGCGGTATTGAACTTCAGTGATACTTGAAACGATATGTGGCGTGTGGCCTGATGTCATGTGACTATGGTGTCTGTCAATTGTAAGGTAGCCTGCGGTCACGTGACTTTGACGCCGGGTGATTGTGATGCTGCTGAAAGTACCTTGTGTAGCGCCAGGTGGCAGAGTGTCTGCTTATTTGCCAAGCCTGACGATATAGAGTGTCTGGAACACCGTCGAGGACATGCCGTGTGCGTCAAGTGTCGCCAGCTAGTGGCGGACGTTGAACTGCCGTCGGGGTCGAGATAGTTGACCCAGAGGAGACGCAGTTGATCTGTGTGTACCGTGTACAAGGACGGTTAGTCGTTCATAGAGGGTCCTTAGACACTGGATTCTCTAGCAAGCAGTGCGCCCGGCGAAGTGCCAGGCGCACTCGGCGGGAACCACCTGGGTTCCACTGAATCCACCAGGGTGGCTAGATGGTAGGCTTTTCGTGTGATGAAAAAAAAAACAGACCGAATGGGTCCCTCACAAGCGTTCGTAATATTGGTCCGCTGCAAGAGGATGAAGCAATTCCCGAAAGCTAATAAATAAACAGTTATCAGTTAATGAAACAGATCTTAGCAAATATGATCATTTCCCGTTTATTCTCGGCAAAGATCCGGATACGGAGCCTTTGCGATTTAGCTTTGTTGTATGCATGTACTCGTAATGCTTATGTGATGTTGAAAGTTTCTGAAAACGAGGGTTTGCATGATAGTTTATTTGGTAAAGATGTGATGTAAATATATGTACAGACGACTTTGACAGCTTACAAAAAAAAAAAACAGGCAATAGTCCAAAAACTGTAGCCCGCACAAATCATTCTACTCAACTCCGTCATGCTTTCCATTATTTGGCATAATTAATGACGATTATTACGAGAAATTGCAGCAATTCGAAGCACTTTGTCTCTGCCTTTTCTGTGCCTGTGACCGCGCCATCAAGATCTCGCATAGACAAAAGGGGTCAAAATGGATCGTGTATTGACACGTATTTCAGATGGCCCAGCACTTTCTCATGACAGGATGAAAATCAGTCATCAAGGCCAAAGAGTGGTAACAAAAGATAAGCAGAACCTTAACAATTACATTCATCTTTGACATCAAATATGAAAAACTCGAGCACACTTTGCAGCTCGGTGTCATGACCTGTTACTCGATTCGAAAACAACGCAAACATGTTGACATACAAATACAATCCTTGAGTGAAAGAAACATCGTCTCGAGACACACCTTTACACACCAAAAAAAAAAAAAAAAAACGGCTCCCAAACTTATGCACTGAAAACAGCTGTTTAGTGCAAAAAAAATGTGTGCATATAAGAGGAAAAATTACACAAGTCAACTAATCAAAACGGCACGTATGAACACTATAATGTAAAGTCCAGCCTTTGGCAATGTCGTCGCAGCGACATCTATGAAGCTCACCGCATCTAAATCGACTAACAGTCTCGGTATGAGAGAATGCTCGAACAACACATACCGAAACTAAATTGAACAAACAACAGGACCAGAAGAAAGGCTTGTAATTAGTCACCTCTTGACGAAAATAGCCACACCCTGTATCCATGAAGGCTAAATCCACAAACTCGTCAGTAAGACTTTTCGACACATGTGGGGGGTCAGTAAGACTTTTCGACACATGTAGGGGGCATTGATGAAAGTTTCCACCAATGTCACACGCTGTGTATTTGCCGTTGATTCCCAGAAAAAGCACTCGAATGGGCCGATTGGATCTCATGTGCCGAGCTCAGGAGCTCCCGGATGGTTTTGATCTCCTGGGCCATGAGTACGGGACTCCGAGACCCACCTGCGGACAGAAAAAGGTGGTTACGTCAGAGAAACACTTCGTGCACAAAAGACAGAGTGACAGAACGAAAAAACTGGGCAGTGATCCTGACCGGACGTAACGAGAACATTTACAGAAACAAAGTCCAGCGGAACCACACGCATTTATAGATGAGCACGTAAAACACAATTTGGGACCATGCTGTGGTGACTCATTATAATTCACAATTACGTTTAGCGATATCTATGAAGCTCAATTATGAAAATTCATTATGTCGATCACACCCTACACCGTATTCCGGTAAAAATGAATGACCGTCTTATCGGCCGCCGCCGATAAGACCCGTTGAGGGCTCCAGCCGCGACCACGGCGGCACTGAGCCGGGGGACGGACGCGCGCAAACAGGACGGGCGGGCAATAGCATGGGGAGCTCAGTCGGGGAGCGGCCGCGACCGCGAGAGGAGAGGAGATCACACCCTACACCGTATTCCGGTAAAAATGAATAATCAAAGTCACAACAAAACAGCCTAGTAACCGTGTCGCTCAGTATCACACCTACCTTGAAAGCCTCCCCTGCGCTGGACGTTGCGCTGGTCTCCAGCGCAGCAGGCCGTGGCGGGATTAGTGAGACCGAGTGGTGTCACTCCCCCTCGTCTGGTGACCTGACTGGACGGCTGGTGGAGTGTCAGCTACCCGCGGACATGGCCTGCTTGCACGGACAGTCTGGTGGTAATGACAGACGAGCGAAGAGTGGGAGGATGGCTACGTGGGCAATTACAAGGCACGGAACTGTGTGCGACTTCTGACAGAATGTGCCGTAGGAGTGCGAGCGTCCAATAAACCTTTCTGTTGCCAGCTGTCTGCTGGGTGGCTGCTACCGTCAGTGTTCGGTGGTACGATGGTTATTATGTGTTGACTGTTGAGGGGGTACTACAGTTCGGATGCAGAGCCAACAGTGTGCGTGACCCCGTCCGGGTCGGGGGAGCAATGATTGTGGGCTGCGCGCCGGTGAGGCGACCCGACACAGGTCGTGAGGGAAGACCGGCGAAAGAGGTGAACCAGTCCGCCAGGTCGCTTCCACGAGGGATGATTTAGCAAATGACCTTTCATCACGAGGTCATGCAATCGGCCGAGCGATGGCACATACCAAGCAAGGCGTAGTGACACCAACGCTCTTGCCTCCTGCTGTATCAGCTGAGCGCTGACATTTTTTCACACCCCAAAATCATATCGTTTCATACGTAAACTTCTCATATAGCGATCAATCTGCTGGGACGTCTAAACCAAGAAAGCAGCTGGGTCACAGCCCGCCGAACAGCTGCCCCTATTGAGCGGCTGACGCCGCAGAGATCAAAGGTCCGCCGACAGGAGTACAAATACGGCCGTTCGGTGCCGGGGCAGCCGCCGCCGACAGACCCGGCGCGCCTCGGAAACACCTGTATCCGATGCCGAGCCAGTCCCAGACCCTCTGGCACTAGACATCCTGCCTGAAAGGTTCGAGCGGACACCGGAGAGAAGAGCCGATGCCGAGGGAGGGGGACGTCGCGTCTGGTGCAGCCAAGGACCGACCCCAGCGGATATCGACTGTGAAAACGTCACGTCCGGCAAGGTAACAGCTAAGAGGAGACACACCGGGGGACGACAGGCGCGTTTCCGCCCCGGATACACCTGCTAGATGCCGATTTGGTCACAAGAACCGACCTCCGCTCCGGTACCGGTAATTTGTATCACGAAAGAATAAAACCGGGCCACAGAGGAGGAGAGGGATAAAACACCCGGGGAGCCTCTGCCAGACTGGACCAGAGTGCCCTCTCTTCTCTGTCTGCCAGTGCAACCACCATCAAGAGCCAGCAAGAATCTCCATCTCCGACCAGATAATCTCAAGTGAGTTGTCAGAGCTGACAGCTGCCAGTGCCCGTCTAACTCAGCTCTGAAAGCTGCTCGTCTAACTCCCCACCATGCCCACCACGGACACATTCTCTCCCCTCTGCTATTTCTAACGGCCGTCTACCCTCAAACCTCGCTCTGCCGTCCCATAGCGTCAGTCCTGCCACCATTAGAGGGTAGGGAAAGCGCGGCCAGTAGCGGATAGGGACAGCTGTTGCGTAGGGTGAGGGTAATGGTTCGACGGCGTTCGTATTTCACGCCGTCGCGCCAGAGTGCGGCAATGGCCCATTTCGCTTGTACCGGCGCTGGTGGGACTATGTCAGACCATTTGCGCTCATTGGTGCCGCCGTGGCAGCGGAGTGGGTATTGGGATAGAATAATGGGAGGGTCAGGAATGACTAGGGACAGCTGAGAACAGAGGGTCAGAGTAATGGTTTTACTGCGTCCGTATCCCGCCTCGCTAGCGAGTGGCGCGGGCTCAGTTTACAATTTCGTATAGGAGCGGGGACCATGTGTGGGTTATTTGCACTTCTTGTACGCGATCGCGGTGGATGATGGGGCGTGGGAGGAGAACCGGGTCAAGTGACAGGGCTGACCGGGGGACAGGGCCCCCGGTCCCTGTCCGTCGGGCCAGCGCCGGCAGCGAACGAACCCTCTTTGACCATGTGTCACTCGATGCGGCGCGGTGCTGTCACTAAATTAAGCTAGCGTTAAGGTTATCGTAGGCTCTGCACAGTAACATGAAGGATGTTACTGCGACACACAATATTTGACATAGACCAAATTACAAATAACAAACGCATTTATTTAATAAATATTTTCCTTGAGAAATACGCTATTGTTATCGCTTAGATTCCAGTTATCTTCACCATTAGGGCGCCATTTTCCTTCCCGGACCAGGCTTGGGTCGCGTTTGCTGTTGGTGTTAAATTTATGAATTCTTCTGGATATTTTACCGATTTTGCCGCGTACGACGTCTTAAAGCGAGGTCGTTTGTTTTTGCATCAGTGTTTTGTACTCGAGATGGCTTAGGCAGCCGTCCGGTGGTGCGAGGACCCACCAAAGTGGGATGTCCTTCCTATAAAAAGTATTGATGCTGTCGAAGATGCGTCAGTGTCGGTCGGAGACACGGCTACGGCCAAGTATGGGAGAGGCTGGTTTCTTAGTTGTTGTTTAGTTGTTCTTAGTTTCTTAGTTATCTTAGTTGTTGTTAATTTACTTTAATTTCACTCAAGACGGTGCGCCCGCACACACTTCGAATGTTTCACAAAAGTGGTGCAAGGAACATTTCCAAGGATTCTGGGACAAGAACATGTGGCCTCCCTCGAGCCCAGACATTAACCCAATGGATTTTTCTATTTGGTCCATTTTGGAGAGCGATGTCTCAAAGATCTCACACAGCATTGTCACTGCCCTGAAGCAAGCCCTTGCCACCGCTTGGTCAAATGTTGACCAAGAAACGGTGCGGCGCTCATGCCTATCAGTCACATCACGACTGAAGGCCCTGGTCAGGGCAAAGGCCGGACACATCGAAAAGTAATCGTGTTGAGCGACCGAGGAAGGATGGCAGAATGTGTGGTCGTGGCCATTTTTCTATACCTTTATTTGTTTGCGAATAAATTGAAAGAAACGATGGGTAAATCTTTATGGCGCACCCTGTAGAGGAAGCTTGTTATGTGCTGACCAATTATACTAATATCTATGGATTGGCTCTAAGCAGGGTGCAAGGAGAAAATGGAGACAGCAGTTGACAGCATCGACGCAGACCTTGAGTCTGAAAAAGAGAACGAAGAGACCTGGCATGAGGAAGAAGAAAAGAGCTAATGTGATTAGCTCAGATGAAGAGAACCAGCAGCCGAGCACATCAGCGAGTTGTCGAAAGGGGGAAGTTACTTGCTACTCCTAGGGCGTGATGTTAAAAAGTACCCTTACATGAGTTAGGAGCTGTTTCTGTCAGGAGCTGTCTATGTCCTTTCACTCACCATTATTCATATGGACATCAACCATGCCAGAAATACTTTCTGGGAGAAACTATTTGCACATGGTGTGCCCGTGCTGCTATTCCCTTGCATTACGATTGGCCATCATTCTCCAATAGGCTCAAAACACTAATTCTGTCATGCCTCACAGTGAGAGGCTCCTTTGACGTTAGTTTCAGTGTCGACAAATATGACAAATATACATCTTTTTCCCTTCTACTTTTCCCCTTTTCCCTTCTACATTACGTTTGTTTGTTTGTTTATTGGGGCTTTAGGGCGCGCCGACTGCGAAGGTCATTTTGCGCCCATAACGTCACTCTGGGTTTAAGTGAGAACCGAGGTTGACTAGCTAGCAATCTCGAGCGCGATTCACCAGTTAAGAATTTGACCAGTACTGTGCTGAACGGTCGGTCAGGTCTGGGCAAGATCGACGGTCACCATGACGGAGCCATAAGCGCTTGGCTGGTCGGCTAGTCCCAGTCTTAAAATCAACAAAACTTTATTTCGAATGTTCGTCTCATCGACTGCCGGCCTATCAAATTAGCCTATGGTGACGTCAATTAAATCAGCATCACGGTATCAACTGCCATTGATGAATACTCACTTCTCGAGATATATTGACAATTAACGTAAGATTGCCGCTGGTTGTTAAAATTAAGTGCGGTATCATTCGAGTGCTGATCATAAAATGTCTCAAGGGGGTTGATACGCTAGCTTCTGGAGGGAGGCGGAAAGTAGCATAGCTCCTGGCTGATCTATTTCACAACGCAGAAGATCAGGACGAGCCGGAGTTAGCCGTACTGGAAGTTAGTCGGGCAGCCCATCACGCCTCAGCTGCCGCACTCGCGGCCTATCAAGCTATGAGACAAAGTGGGATCGCCCGGGTTATCGCCCGCCGCGATTTGGAGCGGGCCCACGACGCTGTGCGGACAGCCGAGACCCAACTACGAGAGGCAGAGAACGCAGAAAAGGAGGCCCGAAAATCCTGGAGAAGGGCTGCGCGGACGGCGGCTCGTTCAGCCCGGTTCGCACGAGAAACGGCCGCCGACACCGACTCCGAAGATTAAGAATCAGGCATCACTGGTGCCCGTGCTGGCTGCCGAGACAAGACTGCAGGGGCCAGAGAGCCTGCAGTGGGCTCTACAGCTGCTCTCCAGTCAGCCTCCCGGGCCTCCGGGGGCTGCCCGTTCTGCGACCAGCATCATCCTGCAGCTGAGTGTCCCGCTTTGGGTGGCTTCACCATCCCTGAGCGTTTAACTAAGATTAGAGTGTCAGGTCTCTGTTTTGTGTGCTTAAAGGCAGGTTATAGGGCAAGGCGCTGTGCTTCTCGGTGTTCTTTGTGCAAGGGTAGGCATAATCAGATATGTTATCGCCATTGTTTGCCGCGCCCCGCCGTGAAGGTGTGTGATTTACTTGTCCGTATATTTCGGAACATTGGTTCTCGATGAAGGGATGAACTCATAAGAAATGGCATCACAAGTACTGCCAGTAGGGTGGTAGGCAAAATATCAACTTAGTAATTTTTGTCAGGCCAGGTGATAATTTTGTTCCTTTCCCTAACGTGAGTGTGTCACAGAAATTTCACTGCGATATTCAGTTGTTTACCCCTGCCGCATCGACCTTTTCGGTACGCATCGAACCTTGGCTGAAGTCTTCCCTGAATGAGGGTTTCCTTTCTCAACAGCAGCACAAAAGGCTACCATAACCGTTTATATTCACGTTCTAGGTTCAAGAGTACCTCAATGATGTTGCTGTCGCGGACTCTGCCGCTACCGCCGAGCCGCGCCGGTACGTGCTGCGTTGTTATA